TGCCATCTTAACAATATTAAATTTTCAAATCTGTGAACATGAGTTGTTTTACCATTTACTTAGATTTTTTTAAAACTTTCTTTCAATAACATTTTTGGGTATATGTTTTACACTTACTTTGTTACATTTACTCCTTAGTATTTTATTCTTTTTTATGCTATTGTAAATTAAGTTGTTTTCTTTTCCTTTCTTTTTTTGTTAATCCTCACCTGAGTATATTTTTCCATTGCCTTTTAGATAGAGTGGAAGTGAGGGAGGGGGAAAGAGAGAGAAAGATACGGCAAGAGAGAGAGCCTTCATGACCCTAAAGGGGGCCAGAATCAAACCTGCAACTCAGGTAGGAGTCCTTGATTGGGAATCAAACCTGCAACCCTTCGGTCTGTAGCGAACAATCTAACCACTTGGCAAAACCAGCCAGGGCTGAAGTTGTTTTCTTAATTTTATTTTTGGATTGTTCATTGCATTTGTATAGAAATACAATTGATTTTTGTATACTTGATTTTGGACTGATACAACCTTGTTGTGCTCCTTTATTAGTGCTAATTCTTTAGTGGATTCTTTGGGATTTTCTATATACAAGTTCACGTCATCTGCGAATAAAGACAGTTTTAATTTTTCCTCTCCAATTTAGATGCTTTAAAATATTGGACCATTTTTACATATAGTATTGCAGGAAGGGTTCAGCATCTGTTGCCAGTTATATTGCCTGAAATAAAAGTGGCAACAGCTTCTAATTTATTCCCCGTCTCTTATCATGTTCCTTTCCAATTCATCATTTTTACTGAAGTCAACATGATCTTGTGTTAGGTGGGGTTCTTTGACTACAAGCCACAGAAACAAACCCTAGATAATTTAAGCTAAGAGATAAAAATAAATTATGAAACGTATAAATTATTTATATCGTTTTTATGTTGTTTGACTCAAGATTCAAACTTGACAGTGTCTGGGCAAGCTTAGATCACATGCTCTCTTGGATATATTTTGGTAGTTAAAGAATCTGATGAGAGTAACTTTAGGAACCTCTTTTGTAGAAGCATTTACTTTCCACCAAGGTGGACACATTTAGTGGAAAATCTCCCTAGATAGATTGGGGTTCCATTAAAAAGGAAATAAATCCTGCATTACCGACAATGTCAAATATTCACTAGAGATCTTTTCCAAAATGTAAACATGATGTCACTTCTATGTTTAAGCTCCTTGACTCTTTCCCACAAGATCAAGTTCTAAATCCTTAGCATGACAATAAAGGTTTTTCTAGTTTAGCCCCCAGCCTTATTTCTATTCCACTGCAGCTCAACATTTTTGAATACTTCAGACTTTGTGCTGTAAACTGAAACACAAAGGAGCACTCTTGCCTTGAGGCACTCAAAGCCTAGTAAGATGTATATTAGTACAATCACTTCTCAATTGCCTAACTTGTCTTGTAATAGTAGCTATGGTGACCATAAATCCTGGTCTTTGCCTATTGTCTTAGTGCACCAACCCTCTTTTTTCAATCTCAAAAGCTTCTAAGTTTGGACAATAAATTATAGGTCACGCTACTAATAGCATACCTATGTTTTCTCAGTTAACTCTGAGCAAAACAATTCTGTGAAGGACTGAATTACTAGAAGAAATGAGATGATATATTCTTAATTGATAATTAGAGTAGAATTTAATAAAAGGACTATTTGCAAGAGTGAGGGATAAATGGAGAGAAACCACAAGGAGTTTACCCTGGATTATCCTAGGGAAGTAACTGTGACCTTTGGTTGAGGAATGCAGCCAGCCTGCAATGGTGCCATAGCAAGGGAGCCTACAGGAATAAATACCAACACTTCTTTGTTGTACTGAAGTTGCCTGAACTCAAATGGAAGGTATGGGAAAGAAAGCCCTTTGAGTTCAAGTTTCTGGGGCAGAAAGGAAGATGAATAGATCTAGCAAACATGTCCACCATCAGGACTCACTGTTACGACCCAATCATACAATAGAAAAAGATGAGATGACGAAAGGCTAACTTGCTCAATGTCACATAGCTAAGTAATAATCTGGAGTGTTTTCCCCACTCTGCTAGCTACCTCTAAGGCTCCTACTGTCGCAGTGCCAGAGCACCTATCCTTCCAACATCATCACCCTTGAAACCACGGAATCTTCATTCATTCTGTTCCATTGCTTGAAATGTCCTCCTTGCCTTTCCCTGTTCCACCTCCTTGGTGAACCTTTCCTTTTTGGACAGGGAGAGTGAATAGCTCCTTTTACTGTGCTTTACAATCCCTTAATTCATGTATCTTTTCTAGGATTTGGATTATTTATCAGTGTTGTTATTTTTGTTTGTTTGTTGAGGCCACTCAGCAAATGTCTCAGGGTATGCCAGGTCTAGCTGCCACCTGCTGTATCAGCATTGTTTAAAGATCTATCTTTCAGCAGAATGGGCACTGATTAAGAGTCAAAGAGGCATCCTCATTTAAAAATTTTTAGTTCTTAGCACAGTGCTGGGCAGAGAGTTAAAAAGGTAATATAATCCTTTAGCAACCCTGTTAGGGAGGAACTATTATTAAACAGACTTTTAAGATGAGGAAATTGAAGCACAAGAAAGATTAAGTAATTTGCCCAAGGTCACATAGCTATGAACTGTTTTTGAACCTAGGTAGTATTGTCGTAGATTGTTTAAATGACATTCTGAAATAGCCTTTCTTGGCCAACAGTAATTAAATTGTATTTTTATTAAATATATTTATGCCTACCTGTCCCCAAAAAGTCAGGGAGGTGGGAATTTAAAGCATTGCTTCTAGTCAGTAAAAAATTCAGGCAGAAGCTGGGTAAACTGTAATGATTCTGTCCTAAAAGGGTTTCTTCAAACAGTTGAGATCTTGGAATAAGTGGCTTTTAGTTTTTGTGATGAGAATAAACTAACCTACCCACAAAAGTAGGAAATTCATACTCTCAGAATCGAATCAGCTTTTTTCAACATAAGCATTTCCCAAGTAAATAAAAATGAAACAATTAATTGATTAAGTCCTGCAGTCTGGTCCAGCCCATGTATATACCAAGTGGAGAGTTGGTTTGCAATTGCCCTTACATCTGGTTGGCAGCCTGTGGAGCAGTCTTTTCATAGGGTTTACCTGAGACCTCACGTCATGAGCAGTGCCTGTCTAATCCTCCCTATGGGAGAAGGACAAAATGTCTATATACACAGAGCAGCAGATGGAAGTACTTCTCTTCCCCCTCCCTTTCCATTGTAACCATCCACGTGGTAATCGTAATTCAACATTTACTGAGCGCTTATTGTATGCTTGACATAAAATGGTGGACCATGTCTTCAAAAGATTTGAAAACTAGGGGGCAGAAATTGCTAAAAACTGAGAGGTTAGTGTCTGCAAGTCTGGGTCCGCCCACAAAATGAAGAGATCCGCATTCGGAGCCTCTGATGTTTCTTTCGCTGAGACTGCTTTCATCACACTCTCATCCCCGAGGGTTTCACCTGCATCCTGTAGGTGGAATTCAGCCTGGGTGGCCCAGAGCCCATCCACCCCTCCTGGGGTAATCCAGCGTCTGCCTCGCAGCAGCTGGACCCCGGCCCGGAGGCCACTCACCCTCAGCCCAAGGCGGGGCGGCGCGTTAGAATCCTGTGTTCTCCAGAGATGGCCGGAGGGGCAGACGCAGGGCTCCCGAGAAACCTGGTTGCTGGAAGTCTCAGGTCAGACTCTGAGGCACAGTCTAAAGAGGTGGTTTGTCTTTGACCTAATTCAATAGGTCTTGGTTTTCCCTGAGGGTGCAATCCCGTGGGTTTATCACAGCCTTCACCGCCTCCCCACACTCCCTGCGCTTCAGTATAACTGGTTCCCCTTCCCCGTCCGGTCGCTATCCTCAATCACCTTGCTGTCGCGGGCCCCCTCTCCCGCCCGACGACGCGCTGCGGGAATCTACAGCACCTCTGTCTCACTCCGCCCTCAGGCTTCGGCCCGGGCCGCACCACCCGAAACGCAACAGGACTCTGCTATTCCGCCCGGCACACTGTCGCGCAGTAACGCCCCAACATCTGTTGTTAAAATCCTTCCTTACGGCGGAGAAGCTTCCCAGGCCCACGCGCCCGGAGTCGCACAGACTTTACAATCACCCGCCTGGCGCCGCTGCCGCGCCCCCCAGCCGCAAGCCCCCGCGCGCGCCTCCCAGTCTGTCTCCAGCGATCACAAAAGGTCGGCTGAGCCCCCAAGTGTGACCCGCGGGCGGCCTCAGCCCCTGCGCTCTGGGGCAGTCCACAGCTGCGCCAATTCCCCAGCGGAGAAGTCCTCTAGTTCCTCTCAAGCCGGCGGCGGTTGGTAGTCCACATCAGCAACTACTGTGGCCTCTTCCTCTCCACTGTGGTCCCTTACCCGGCCGCATGCTTCAGTGACAGCTTCCAGCCATCTGCTTTTTAGTTTCTCCCTTAAGAACAGACTCGTAGGAGCAACTCTTCCTTTGGGGGTGTCTGCCCAGCCCCACCTCGGTCACCCACATATCTCCCTGGTGGCCCACACCCTCTCCAAGCGGGTTCCTCCGGTGGGGCGTGCTTGCCCAGGGCTAACTTTCCGCTACATGCCGTCTCCGCAGATCTGTCTTGCCCCGGCATCCCTTCCCCCTCTCCGCAGCGGCTCCAGCTGCCCGATTTGCGTAGCGCGTGGCGGGACCTGGGGCAGGGATCTCCGCGCTTAGGCTTTTACTCGGACTTCAGCACGTGATGGAACGGGGGGCGGGCGGCCAGCGCACCGGCTGGGGGCGTCTCGGTGGCACCGGAGAGGATCGCTTCGAGGTCCTCAGTTACAATGTGAGAGGGCAAGCCCTGCAGTCTAAGCCTGGAGGCCCGCCCACCATGCTCCCCACCACTGCCTCAGCCCCCGCGAGCAGGTTTACACCCCTTTCTGGGGAAGCAAATGGTCCCTTCCAGGCGGGTGGCCATGTTGCTCTAATAAAGCAGGAGGGGCAGTAGCGTGGGGGGAGCAGATGCCGCTGGCCGCGCGCGGGAGCCGGGCGCGAGCAGAGCGCAGCCGCAAGGAAGGCGCGGGGGAGGCGAGCGGGAGCCGGAGCCCCAGCGGCAGCCACTGTTGGCAAAGAGCAACCGGGCGCAGCCAGAGCCGGAGCCGCAGCCGCGATGGCCGTGGCCGTGGGGAGACCGTCTGTGAGTGCTGGGGCCCCGTTTCCCTAGCCTGCTACTTCTCTGATGCTGGGTGGTCCCCGCTTTGGGGCGGGTGCCGGCGGGAATACGGGGGACCCGGGAGGGGGTCGGGACCGTGGCGGTGGTGGCTGTGGGTGTGTGTATGAATTTGGGCGCGCGTCTAGGGCTGAAGGGACGGCGAAGAGCCCCGAGGCTTGGCTGTTACGTGATGCAACAGTATATCGCCTCGTTGCGCCCCGATTCCCAGGATGGGGGAGGAAAAGGACCTCTCTTTTATTTTCCCTTTAGAAAGATTCTTTTAGCCACTGTGTTTCTCGGCTGCTCCTCTCTCTGCGCGCACACCTTTTCCCTCGTGACATTCGAGAAAGGCGCCGGGTGCGAGGGTTTCCTCCCGGCTGCCCTGCGCGGAGGGGCGACCCGAGCATGGAAATCGTTAGCCGTAGCGCTGTGTGTCAGATGGTTGTAGAAGCGGGTCAAAAATAAAAGGGTGGGATTTCCGTGGTGGTTTCCCCAGTGCATTGTGCGATCCCGGACACCCCCAGGCATCCACCAGGGTGACCGAGCCCTGCCCAGGATGTGGACAAAAGCCCTACATGCACACACAAAGTTTTCAAAAGGTCCCCTTGTCCGGGTGGATGGAGGTATTAAAATACTCAGCGGATGGAGGGCTGGGGGTGGCTAGCAGAGGAGGTGGGGACGCGAGGAAGAGGAAGGGAGGGCGAGTGCCGGCGCCGGGAGAATCGGCAGCCCCTTGGCCCGGAGCGCGGGAGGGAGGGAGGGGGATGCTCCAACCTCCGGTTTGCGGGCGGGGCAAGGGCCGCGCCTCCTGGGGTGCGCTACTCCGACCCACGGATTTGGAGGGTGCGGTTTCAGTCGGTGCTGCACAACCCTGGGTGAAAGGCAGAGGGAAGGGGCGGCGGCCTTTCCTTTTTAATGAAAGAAGCAGGGCGGGGTGGGAACGGCGGAGTCCTCTTTCTTTCTCTTTCCCCATTTCTTTGTCGATGTTCAAAGTCTACTTTCACCCCATGGGCTTTGGGGGCGCTTCGCTCGAGATTTTTCCTGCGTTACCCCCTCCCTTTCCTTTTCCTTTTTTCTTCCTACCCGTAACTGTGTAGCTGCAGGTGGTGGCTTGAGAGAGTTTGTAGATATAGACAAAAGTCCTTCGGAGATACTGGAAGCTCTGAAACCCCAGAAATGCAGGCTGTTCTCAGACCCCCGCGCTTATTCTCCTAACTCTTGCCCAGATATACAGCCCCCCCACCCCCCAAGAAGTTCGCTGGATTCCTCAGCGTGTTCTAATCAGTCTGGTGATTCCGCTTGCCGAGGTGTTTTTAGAGACGTTCTCCATGGTCAGAAAATATTCGGTGGTCATATTGGAGTGTAACTGTAGGTCTTTCAGGCGTTTTAAACTCTAATAGTTAATGACATACGCTTAAGATTTCAGCTCTCTGCTTGCACACAAATTGTACTCTTGATAATTAGTGGTCAAAGATTGCTGTTATTGAGGGAATTTGTAGTCTCTAGCTAATCTTTTTTTTTTTTTCCCCTCTGGTGAGAAAATTGGAGTCCAGAGAAGTCAAGTTTGGTGAAATTACTCCCTCCTCCACTAGACTCATTTCCAAGGCACAGATTCCCAGTAACTAAAATAACAAAATCTGCTTTAGATAATTGGAGAGCATCCGGGAATGCAAATTGTGTGTGTGTGTGTGTGTGTGTGTGTGTGTGGTGGGAGGGTGTCTTTTAAGTAATACCTGTTGCTGGTGCATTCTTGAGGCATGGGGAGGTGAAAGAAATAATTTGCTGCACATTTTTAAAATAAATTAGTTCATATATGTCAGTTAAATAGGAACAGTATTTGAGATGTAGTTGTGTGGTCACAATCATATCCAACACTAGGTCTGTCAACCAGATGTGAGCTTAATCCCAGGGAATTCTTGTGTAAGAACTCGCTCATTCAAATAGTAGAGATTTTTAAAAGTGTTGCACAGAGGAAGTAACTGCTTTCTCTGCACATTCCCTGTTGTCACTGGAATTAAGATGAAATTACTTACAGTTTAAAAACAGAAGACTTCTGCCCTGGCCCATTTGGCTCAGCGGTTAGAGCGTGGGCGGATTAGAGAATAGGCTAGCAGACCAGAGTCCCAGTTTCCATTCCAGTCATGGCACCTACCTCCCTTGTGTTTAGATACCCAGCCCTGGTTGGGGTCCTGCGGGAGGCAGCCAATAGGTGTGTCTCTCTCACACACATGGCTGTCTGTCTGTCTCTCTACCCCCTCCTCCTCCTCCTCCCCCTCTTCCCCTCCCCCTCCCCCTCTTCTCCCTGTCTCCCGGCGCTCTATCTGAAAATCAGTGGGAAAATATCCTCGGGTGAGGATTAAAAAATAAATAAAAATAAAAACAGACTTCTTTCTTTGACTGAGTTGTGGTGTGGGTGATCCGGAGTTGACTGTGACGTTGAAGTCTTTTCATATATTTCCAAGGAATTGTTGAACTGTTTAACTGTTGTTCACTCCGTAAATGTCTTAAGTGTAGTGTCCCCAGTTTGTCTTCAAAACAACCCCAGTCCATGCAGATTCTCCAAACACAGATCCAGGGGATCTACACTGCATCCTTCTTGTTAGAATTCTCCGCCTCTTCTGTTCCCTTATCTATTCTAGGATTGGAACAAAGGAAAGTGTGTAGAGACAAGAATCACTCGAAGTTGAGCTGTGTGTGAATGGAGTTTCTCTAGTTACTTTTTAAAAATTAGATTTAAAAAAAAAAGGTTGTTTAGAAATATATGAGTAAATCTCCTTTTCCTGAAAACTGCCTCCCTCATCCATATTGAAGGAAAGTTCAATCAGGATAATTTGCCCTCAATTTTAGACATTCTTGAATTTGAACATCTTAGTGTGATATCCCAGGTAAATATGACCTTTTACTGAACAAAAATCCTTATATGTCAAATGCAATAATTTCTATCTTATGAAGTAGCTACAGTAGTCCCCCCTTATCCGCAGTTTTGCTTTTTGAGGTTTGTTACCCATGGTCAACCTCAGTCTAAAAATATTATGAGGAAAATTCCAGAAATAAGTAATTCCTAAGTTTCAAACTTGCCGCCATTCTGAATAGCATGATGATGGGCCATTTGCTCAGTCCTGCGCAGGGATGTGAATCATCCCTTTGTCCCCCTTTGTCCCATTTATCCATGCTATATGTGCGCCTTCCCCTTAGTCACTTAGTAGCTATCAGACTGACTGTTGTATTACTGTGCTGGTGTTCAAGTAACCCTTATTTTACCTAATAATGGCCCCAAAGCATAAGTTAGTGATGCTGGCAGTTCAGATATGCCAAAGAGAAGCTGTAAAGTGCTTCCTTTAAGTGAAAGGATTAAAGTTTTCAATAGGGCAAAAAAAATCTTAGGCTGAGGTTGCTGAGATCTGTAAGGACAAATCTTCTACCCATGAAATTATGAAAAAGGAAACGTATTCATGCTGAGAAATCACATATAACTTTTATTACAGTATATTTGTATAATTGTTCTACTTTATTATTAGTTATTGTTGTTAATTTCTTACTGTGCCTAATTTATAAGTTAAACTTTGTCATAGGTGTGTATGTACTACTTGCAGTTTCAGGCAGCCACTGGGGGTCTTGGAGTGGACCCTACCAGATAAGGGGGATTCCTTTATATTCAGTTACAACCATTTAAACCTCAAAGCTAAATTCAGATGTTTCCTAAGTGGATTTCTTGTTGGCTAGTAAACAAACTCCAGTTTAGTGTGATACTCATTATTTTCATTTATTTTTCAATTTTTATTAATTGATTTTTGTTACAGATGTTTCTCCTTTTTCTCCTCTAGACACCCTTCTCCCCATCTGCCCCCTCTTTATTTTTGTTTTAATCTTATCCCCTAGCTTCCCCATTTTCTCATGGATGGTTTTGGGGCTTGGCTCTGAGAGGACCCTGAAGCACATCTGTGGTTTCCAGAGTATAACTGATGATTAGCAAGAGCATTTCTTCGCTAGGTTTGTGTCCACATTTTGGATGAGTTAGTATTCTTGCATCCAAGTCCCAGGGAAGCTATTATTTTTATTTTACACAGGGCATGGTAATTTCCTCTGCCTGGGTATCAGGCTTTATGTAGCTGATCCACTCTCTTAAGGTATGGTGTTCATCTAGTTACAGAGTCTAGGAGTTGATAGGAACATTAGAGGTCATTTGGTTCAGTTTCCTCCTCAGTCTAGAAATATTTATTCCTAGGAGAAGGGTATGTGTTTAAATGTTTCTAGTGACAAACATTCCACTATGATATCCTTCAAGAAGCATGTTTAATTGTTTTTCTGTTGAGCAAAAGGAAATGGAGAACCGAGTTCATTCATTTGCTCATTTAACACTATTTATTGACCAGCTCCCATGTGCTAGGTGCTGAGGATATATCAGTGGACGAGAGACATTCCCTTCCTCCCTGGAGCTATTTTCTGGGAGGTTTAGTGTCCGTGTGTATTACAGTGACAAACTTCAGTGGAGTATACAAGCCATTTATGGAGAAGGGAACTATTTGCCCATTGCTGAGTCAACGATGATGATGTAGGTAAAGGATCTTAACTGTCTGAGGATCCTTACATACAGTCCCTGAAGATAAGGTCTGTCTTCAGCAGGAGAAAGGTGGGGACTGACAAGGAAATGTCATTTTTCCTTGTTGTAAAAGTGCCATTACTAGACCTGAGGATGTGGCCCACATGGAGCACTCTGGCTGTGGTACTTGGAGAAAGATTAATGGAGCTGAAAAAAGTGCAGGGAATGGCCCATCCGAATTATAAAGGGGTTGTCATCCAGGGGGAGGTTTTTAAAAAGTAAAACTCTTTAATCATTGATATAAATTATACGCATTGAGGCTCTATAAACAATTATTAAAAATCCAATAAACGTTTGAGGTGCAGTACGCTCTCCTTTTAAAATCTTTTGAAAACTGTAGATTTTTAAAAAAATCTTTTAAAATATCTTTTTTAAAATGACTTAT